AGCTGCGCACGGAGAGATCCAGTCCCGTCGGTGGACCCCACTCGCCGAGTAATAGCTCGCGCGAGGTCGTACGCAGGCTCCTGTACTCGGACCACCCGACAGAGGAGTGCAAGCCGTCATATCTTTATAATTGCATGTATTAATAATATAACTCAGTTCAACAACAGCATTGCGTAGGCAATGAGGCCTGTCCACTCGAGCTGTCTCACGGGGTCACGAGCGGATCCATCGATCGCGTCGTCGTTCGTGGCGCATCGAGCAGCTTATCAAGCCAGCGACATCTCGCTCACAGCTGCGTCGCAGTGACGTCAGCAGTTATAGTCCACCACCAGCTTGAGCTCCCACGTACCGAACGATGAGCGTGCAGCAGCATTGACGTACACCAGAAGCCATCGTAAGCATATCGGCTGCCTTGCGCGCTGAATCGAGTCTCCTGATTGCCACCGGTACGAGGATGTGTCCATGTGTCAGAAGCGAGGACGACGACGTCCCTGCTCCCAACCTCCTGCAGTTGTCTGTCGTCTCTGCCATCAAGGCCCTGTGTGAAATGGGATAATGGTTGGGGCAAAGTGCGTCAATTGTAGCGTGTGCTGTGCCAACGACGTTTGTCGAAGCTGGGAAAAACCCCTTGGCTGCCATGTCTCGTGTGGGGCACGTGGGTCGTCGCTGGTTTTGCTCTAAATTTTCAATTGATTTCAAGATGGCCTCGCTGCTACAGTGGCGATTACACCACACAGCATTTTTAGCATTTTCAAATCGGCCATCGACCAGGAGCATGAACAATCAACCGCTTCCAGCGCTCGAGTTTGTCAAGACCGGATTCCTCTTCAAGCGCGGGGCGGGCGGTCTCTTTGGGCGCAAGAATTGGAAGCCGCGCTACTTTGAGCTCACCGACTCGACCTTGCGCTACTACAGCTACCAAAAGGGCAAGAAGAAGGGCGAGCTGCGTCTGGACGGCATCGGACGCGACGCGATCGAGGTCATGCCGGCCGACTCCAAGAAGACGGGGACGTCCAAGTCGACGATTTGGCGCATTGCGATCCAGACGCCCAAGCGTCGACTGCTCCTCGCTGCATCGACCGAGTACGAGATGAACGAATGGATTTACGCGCTATCGCGCGTTGTAAAGGGCGGCGTCAAGCACCGGCACTCGGACATGACCAACTACAACCCGAGCAAGCGGGCGGACATTGGCGCGCGCGCCGAATCCTTCTAGCACGCGCACTTTGATATTTATAATGAATCGTCTTTGATTCTCTTATGCGTTTTACACGTAGAAATATACGAGCGGAACTCGGAATGTTAGATCCGTAGATTCGATGCTTGGTCGGAATCGCGCGATTTTTCATTCTGCCAGTGACATGGGTTAGCTCGTGGTTCAGGACCACTGCGCCTCGGACACTCGTCTTGAGTCGCTGTCCCAGTAGGTGATGCTAGGCTTGCCAGTACATGGACCGCGTCATTACACGTCTACTCGTAAATATTCGCTTGATGGCGTTGGACCGTTGGGTGGAGTTGGTGCCGGCATTGGTAGCACCGCTGCAATGATAACAATCCAGCGCCGCGTTTAGGGACCCCCTAAAAGGGATCGAAATAATCTTTGCTTTTGTATGCCACAAAACACGCAACATCAAGCTGCTTCAATCTGGCACGGTGCTTGGCCTTGATAGGACGCCCATCATGGCGACCTCGCTGCAGTGGTCGGTCTGTATATGCATACACCAATAGTACTTGCTGGGTTGCATCGCTCATGGTGAACGCTGACAAACCACCTGCACATGGGAACCGTTGTAGGTATCACCATTGCAAAGCTACCTCGTTGCCTCGTTCAGTCTTGTAAAGGGCCAAAACACAGCACACTATTCATTATTGTATCCGTGTCAATAATGTGTACGCGCACGACTTGTCTATAGGCAGCGTCCATGCACGGCCTTTGCTCGTGTCGACGGCATCGCGGTCGGTGGCAAAATGGGTCGGTGACCTACAAAGTTGCGTGCCACCATCCCCATTCATCCGGATAACGCAATCCCCATGGGTCCCCCTATGAGACATCCACGCGGATTCTAATTTTTTACGACTGCAATCCGCAGCAGCAATCACCGCCGTATCCATCCAGCTCACTGGTCAATTTGCCGCAACCAAGCATGTCCTTTGTCAAGTCGGGGTACCTCTTGAAGGAAGGGTCGGGCCAAGGGCTCTTCCAGAAGAAGAACTGGAAGCGCCGGTACTTTGAGATCACGTCCAGCACGCTGCGCTACTCAGTGCTGGAACAAGATGCGAAGGCGCGCGGGCAGATCAACCTCGATGGGCTCTCGGGCAAGGCGATCGAAACGCTGGCGCCGGAAACGGGCGCTGACGTGGCGCTACCAACGTCGCAGTGGCGCTTCGTTGTGGCCACGCACGACCGGCGCCTCGTCGTTGCCAC